TTCCGGGATGGAGACTGCCCACTGGTCGAGATGAACCACCTGTGTTGGCTCCAAATCAGGAATGAAGGTTCCTTGACGCGAGCCACTCCTCAAAGGGATTTGGGCCTGCCACTCCGTTGAGTTCGGATCTGCCACTCCTGGGAACTCAAACGCAAATTGGATGGTTCTGTTCATCGACGAGAGTGAGTCTGGTCTTTGGAAATCTTACATAAAAGTTGCCTCGCTGGATTCTACCGTGACGCGGTGGGATCCACGGTACAGGAGCAAAATTCATTCATCTGTATACGACTGTAGTCGGAACATGCACTCTGAATCATCGTCTTGCCACTCCGAGGGATGACTCCTTCGAATGGATCTGTTTGAAGACGGGTGTCAGGGTGAGGCAGAAAGACTGACAATTATATTATGTGTATACATTGTGCCGCTGGAGGATAGGTCGGATCCGATGCTTACACCTCAGGACCTCCCTCAGCGAGCTGAAATGGCCGTAGCCGGAGTATAGCTTTCTTCGGATGAGTCTCATCATTGCCTCCACTTCTTCTGCATAAACTGGGGATTGCTCCAGGAAATCGGTAGCGAATGCTCCCCAGTCGATGGAAGCTTCCGGCTAACTGTCGGTTGGTTGAATCATCTCTGCCCCTCAAGGGCGGGACTCCATCAACTTTTATGGTGCTGAAAATGGAACTCGTACCTGCGCCTGGCCTGAGAGGCTTGGCTTGACAGGGGAACTGCTGGAAAGTTATACTGGCTCGTAGGGGTGGAAGGACTCCACTGAATCCACTCCTGCTCGAGAGTCTCCAGCTGGAGCTGGAGCTGAATGGCGCCGTCACCGACTTGTGGTGGGCCATCCTTGGAGTAGCTGCATCTGGTGTGGTGTACTGTGGCATGAAGTACTATCTTCCATGCCATTGAACTTGTTGATGGCCCATATTCAGCTTGGGGATCTTCGACATCACCTTGCACTATGACGGAAATTTTGTGATTCTGCGGCTTCCACAATCAGTAGCTGGCTTCGACCTGGCTGTGGACTGCTGTAGAAGCAGCAGCTGGGAGGCCCTTACCTCATCTTCTTGGGATCAAAGGAGGTGGCTTGGGATTTGAATATGGCTTCCGTGTCCTTGGCTTTCTTTTGGTCACAGCCATTCCTTTCTGGGCTTGAATATGTCATTGGTACAGCGTCTATCTAAGATGATACAAGGGTTATCAGGGAACTGGATGGTACGTTCATGGCATATGATGCCTCAACGGTCTTCTGATTCTCCATATCTTCCCTCCTGTAGTCCATGGTAAGGCCACGGTTGCTTCAACCTGCTTGTCCCGCAGTAACACATTGTCTTTGTCGTCTTGTCCAGATGCGGCTTGTGTAGTCGTCTGAGTTCAGGTTTCTTACATCAATGAACGCCGTGCGACCAGATCATAGACTTGATCAACGTCGCTGTTGACCTTCCTTAAGTAGTAGTCAAGTCTGTCTGATATCTTGCTTGGGACAGACCACGTTGGATGGTCTTGATTATTGTAGTAATGGGAACTTTTTGAGAGCCTTGCATCACTATCAACGGATCCTCTGAGCATACAATGGGGTCGAGTTTGACTGCATCCTCATAGTCTGGGAGGCCTCTCAACTTGACTTCATTGCTTCGGTACAGTATGTCACCTGTATGGGTGTTGCACCAGTCTTGAGAATGTTCTCATAGGATGATTCGACTTGTCGTAGATTGACTTTGCCTTGTCTCCTGAGTTCCAAAGCGTCGTACTCTTTGCACTTTGGGATCAGCAAGTGATGCCTGAGAAGTGTCGGCTTGCCGGCTTGGATGGCGCCTGACTCTTCATGGTCTCAATGGCCAATGAAGCCAGAGGCACATCATTCCATCAGGCTTTGACCTTAGGTCTGGACATGTGTGTCAGGGTCTCCTCAAAAGGATAATACCTGGTGTCAGCCTGCCATTTGGATGGAAGAGGAACGACGCTTGGAACTCTTCTGGTTCCTGTACTGTTGCCTCTTCTTGATGGCTTCTTCCTGAGGAATTGAATCCCCTACCCCCCCTAGAAGGGTATCTTCCTCACCACGACCACCTCTTCCTTGAATCTCATGGTGCCGTGGTGTGGTAAGCACTCTTGTGCTTGCTTGTCCCTTGGAACTAGCTTGTGTCTCGTGGAAATGTTCTTGTGTGATACTCCTGCAGAAGGATCTCACAAGGGCACTACTCTTGTAGTTGCTGTAAAAGCTTTTGTGGCTGGATAGCCTTCTTTTCGTGCACTCTTGGTGTACTGTCTGAATAGCCTCGTCTATTTTGCCGCTCACGTAGTTCGGTGGAACTCGTGGTGTATGGGACCTTGGGTAGTAGCGAACTGCTCTGTTGGTCCTTCGATGCTCTGTTCTTCTGCAGATGACCTTCGTATACTTGGATGAGTACACGGGTGAGTTTGAGCACTCGAAACAACTTCGTGTGGAGATACAGTTCTCCGAATCGTTACCGGGATTTTGTGGTTCTCTCACAATAGCACTGTAATCACTCGGATCAACCTATCTTACTCAATTTTGGAGTTAGAAGCTTGCACTGATACTCAGAGATGCGGCTAGATGTCCTCTATCGATTGATGTATGACCTCTTGCTTGCAACGCTGTGTCGCGACTTTCTTGATCGCCGTTCGATGCTTCTGCTCGTTGTGATGAACGGACGAAAATCTCGTTCTTGTGCCTTTTCGCGCGATTGAAGATAATCACTGGATAAGAGACGGACTCAGCGAATCGTTGCTTGTCCCTTGATCCTGGTGTACGTAGATCTTTCCAGTTCCGCCGAAACTGTTGGTCGATCTGTACGTGTAGGTGTGACTGACGAGGGATTTTCTTCCCGCGACTCTTTGCTGTTAGAGGCTTTCGATGCTCTATAGTGTGGCTAGAGGCTGATTCTTCGCACCTCTTCTCTGTTCAGGTGTTAACTCAAAGCTTCAATACACTTTGTGTATCTTTAGCAACTTGACTTACTATCTCGAGACGGATTAGCTCGAGATGGCTTTTGCTTTCAGTGTTGTTTGCTAGTAATACTGCAGCTTATTGGGGAGTAATTTGGTTTTAGATTAAGCTGAAAAGCAAAAGGAGGATTTTCTGGTTGGTGCAATAGCAATTCTTGTGATTGAATTGATATAGGACCCCCGCAACACTTTAGACCTAAAACTCCCTTGGTTCCTTGCATGATCAATTTACATGCGAACCGGACTAGATGATTAATACACGAGTCAATAGTAAAGAGGTGTCAGGTATGTTTCCTCCAACAGGTGGTAGCTACCTCTACGAGATCCCTCTATTCAAGCAGTATTTCCTCGCGTTAGCACGAAGAACGGCTGCGCTTGCCAGTCTAACCAAACAAGAGGAGCCTGTCATGGTGGTGAGTAGTAGCCTTTGTTAAGAGGAGTTGCCACTATAGAGGAGATAGCATCATCTTGATAGAGTCAATAGAGAGTAAAGATAGAGGTATCAAACGGAATAATGACAACAGGAGGATACGAGTGGCTTGGATCGATCGATCCGAGTGATGTCAGTGGAGATTGAGGTTAAGGCTATATATGTCCCTTAAGTCTTTTCGAGGAACGTTCGAAGAGGTTCCGGTTCGCATTCGAATGTCTTACCGGGAGCGGGCTTGCGTTTGTCTCGATAGCTTAGATTCAGCCTGTACGGCGGTACCGATAGAGGCCAAGACATGTTTGGTTGTGTCTTCCTCCCATCCAAAAAAGTTGAAATCGTTCATGGCCTATGCTTGCAGCTTGATTCAACGCTGCACCCAGACTGCAGGAGACTGCTCACAGGATCCTTCAACAATGACTGCCCATCTGTGTCGACCGAGCCTGGCCTCGTAATTAAAATAATTGTTCTTCTTCGTGGTGTGGTCGTACTCAAAGGTCGAGTGAACCCGAATGACATCTAGATGGCTCGAATTGATGGTTACATTCGCACCAAACGTCCGCATTTGGATTGCCATAGAGGCAGTAGTCCTCTTTCTCCACTTTGAAGTGAGTTTCCACGCCCAGATACTCCTTGGACGGCACATCGATGTTTTTGTCCAAGTAAGCGCCCATAAAAATTGATTGTGTTGGTTGTGGGTCATTGTCATTGTAGAGACAAAGAGCCCGGTGAAAACCGTTATGCTCAACCGTAGTCGAGACGGAATGGGTGGCAATTACATCCATGAAAGGCTGCTCAACCAGGCAAACGTCGACATAAGGCTTCGAAAGGAGGAATTCTCGCAGGAATTGCACGCACTGATTTTTGGAGACACGGGCCTTGTCGGGTGTCAGCTCAACATCGTTACGGTTTTGATGGATTTGGAAAAGCATTTCACTGCCCAAATCGCTGGTAAGCACCAAGTGTTTCCATTCCAAGTCAATGACAAGTAGAGCAGTGACCCTCGTGGCAGCACGACCATTGCCAGTGTTGTAAGACGGGGCGTTGACACGGACCAAAGTGTCCTGGATACCATATTCATTAGTGGAAGAGGCGGCAGCAGCGGCAGCGGCGGCGGCGGTGGCGGCGGGAGGAACTGGAGGGGGAGGAGCGAATGCGCCTGCTTTTAGTTTATTGGCGTAACTCATTTCGTCAACTGAATCAATCGTGGCACCAAACCACAAAGATTGTTGCGCTGCCGCTGCTTGCTAGCTAACAGGTTGTCGCTGGAACATTCTAGCACGACTGGCTAGCGTAGAATTGACGTTATCGAAACGTGCCGGCGTTCATCATGGGAGTTAGCAAAGACTACCAGTAGTATTAGACTAGTAGAGCTAACTTCATACCGGTGGGAGTATTGGGTGTGACATACTGCTATGGTTATTACCGATACAGGCCATATTACAACAACTACGGTGGAGGAAGGTCGTATGGCAGAGGAAGGGGTGGGTATGGGTACAAAGTTTAGATAGAAGTTTAGACGGCAAATGACACTGCATATCGAACAATTTCATGTCTAACTCGACGACACACTTAGAGTATTGTTGTGCGATGATAGGTCGCTGGCTTCCAATTAAAAAAGTAAGATGTAAACAAATCGGAAATGTTGATTACTTCCGCCAGACCCACTCGTCCATGTCGTCACCGTATCTCTGTTCCATATTTTGACTTGTCCAACATATCACGGTAGACCTTGAATTTGTGCCATCCAGTTTTTGCCTCTTCCATTAAATCCTCCGTCCAATTGTGAAAGGGCTCAGTGGGGAACTCTGACTTGCGCATGTAGTCCAAGACTCGGTCCATGATTTCCCCGGCTTGTCCCTCCGTGTACTTGGCATACATTGCCTTTTCCCACATCCTTGCTGAGTCTGCAGACTCTTGAAGCAACAAATGTTCTCAAGTTGGCTCTTTCTTTGTCTTCTGCTTCTTGGATTTGTGGCGGTCGTCACCATCAGCAGTTTCCTTTTGCGCTTGAAATTCCGTGAAAATAGCCACCTTTCGATCCTGCAGTATTTCCTCTTCAGATGATACAAGGCTGAGGCCGCGGCCGTCTCCAATGTCTTCGCGAATGTCCATTTTCAGAGGCGGCGAAACAAAGAGGTGGTGGAACCAGTCTAGCTCTAGGGGCGGATAACACTATTGGTCGTCTGTCGTTGAACTCCAACGCAGTGAAAAATGTGGTTGGGAGGAAGAGGACGTGCAGGTAAGTACCACTTGGAGAATTGATGCCGATTCGATTCCAGTTGTCGCCGCGCAATTCTTGGAAAGCGCGTTGTATACTAAATAGATAAGTTAAGGATCGAGGGGGGCGAAGCTAGGCAAAGCAGTGACTGCGGTGGTGGGTGGCTGTTGTGGTGGGCGTACTGGGAGAGCAATGAGGACGGGAGGAGCAGGGCAAAAAGGGGGGCAGGGAAGGGGGTGCATGGAGGAACCAGGAAGGAGAAGGGAGCAAATTAGCGGAAGAGTGCAAGTGCACCATCGGCATCCAGAGAGAACGACGGTAGCTTGTTGGTGTGACACTCCAGCAACGTTGTTGTCTATGTGAGCAGCTACAGCAAGGCTGTTGTGTGTTTATTGATATACCGGGCAGACTCTGGTGATCTCTGACCCTGTTTATTGTGGTGGTGGTGGGCATGGGTTTGGTTGGTCATCGTTAGGGTCAGAGTTTTATCTAAGTGACTTCAGCCCCCCCCCATTGGGCCCCATTATTCGAATTTCTGACGCATTCTCACAATAGCAACGGATCCTAATAGTTTCCTCACATTGCACACCTCTAAACTCCCTTAAGCTACCAAGCCACTTTCTCTGACGGAAAAATCTAGTAACTCACGATGCACACCTCTAAACTCCCTTAAGCTACCAAGCCGCTTTCTCAGATGGAAGAATCTAGTGACTTGTGTTGTACACCTCTAAACTCCCTTTTAAAAGCTACCAAGCTGCTTTCTCAGACGGAAGAATCTAGTGACTTGTGTTGCGCATGTTCCAATTCAGCTCGCCCGGTATATCTATCACACCTCCGGTGTCCTTTTTATTGTTGCATCGTTGGTTAACGTTTGAATAAACTTTCCAGGAAGACAGGTTTAGAAGGGTAGTTGCGGTAAATATAGGGTTAAAGTTACGTTTTACTCCATATTTTCGTATAAAAACTATAATTTACCGCAACTACCTGAACTCCAAAGTTGTCTTCCTGGGCATTAATGATCTTGAGTTTAGTGTTGACTTGCTTGGACCTTTTGGATGACATCTTTGGTGGACTCCTCCCTTAACAGTGTCTGGCAGGTTCAGCAAGCATTAGATGAAGAAGGATGTATCACCCAAATGCACATGCATGCACACAAAACAAGAAAAGGGAATAATAAAATGAACAAAAGAGAGGGAAGAGTAGACCTTGAGTAAAATATAAGTGAACGAAGAAGAACCAGAACGTTGTTATAACTTTTCTAGATGCAGCATGGAAACCTTGCTAGTAGCTAGCAGATGATACTCATCCGGTTTTGATTGCTAACCTAAGTCTACTATGCCAGTGAGCAGACTTGACTGTGGGAAACAACCAGGCCTCGGCTCGTGGGTTGTCCTCGAGCACTTCTTGTCTGAATCCGTTTTATTAATAGACGTTCAGTTTTTTAGAGCATTGGAGCTGTAGCAGCGAGCTAGAAAGGGGGAAACCATACCAATTAGCTGGCAAAGGTGATCTCGGGCCTTTCAACCTGCAGAATGGCAATGTTTTCCTTTGTCAAATCACTCCGAAACCAGCGTGGATTGTCGGAGTGACGAACCAATTTCATGATACCGAGCTGAGAGAAAGGTTTTTCATTTTGCCTTCGTCCAAAAAACGTAGAAGGCTGCACTCTTCAAGCTGACCCGCTCAAGTTTCTGGACGCATAGGACGAAAGGCAAAAAACATTCTTTTTCATCCTGAAACAACCACTTCTCTTGTGTACTGATATCCTTTCTTTCTCTGGGAAAGGAAAAAATACAGTCATCTGGGACATAGAAGACGGAATCATCATCCATGTATAGTTCCTTCAGGTTGCGACACTCCTTGAGATCCTGTCCTGAGGCGAAGGCGCTAGCCCGATTACACCTGTTCCAAGTGATCTTCTCGAGTTTCGGGCAAAACTTGGCTAGATCGTATAGGGCCGATTGAGTACATACCACGTTGCTCAAATCGATCTCCTTTAAGTTTGGCATGATCTTGGCCAAAAACTTGGGAACACATACACACATACTGCTATTTTGCGATCCTGCAGGGAGCGCTCCAAGTTCATGGACATATCCAAGACTTCCACCTCGGATAATTGGAAGCCCTTGATGATGGCGTTGAGTTCCTTGGCTTTGACCAATGAAAAGCTGGAGCGAATATCTAGCCGAATGTGATTGCACTTGATCAACGCAGGAGCTTCATATCTCATGGTGTGTAAAAAATCCCATCAAAGCTTGCCCTGCTCGTGCACTCAACAACCCCCTTGTCTTCTTGGCAGTCAATAGTTAGACTACTGGGAAATTACGGGGAACGTAGAATCGAGGGCGTTTCGCCACGGGTTCTACCGGTACCTCTCCTTTGCTCTTTGAAGAAAGGCCAGATGATCTTCCAAGTGATTGTTGTGAACAAACAACCTACAAAATAGAATGGCATTGTAGCATTGGCAAATTTATAAAAAAAAATGGGCGCCAGAAGTTGGGCCTTGCCCGCGAATTTCAAAAAAATTGGTTCACTCACGGTACAGTACGCTGTACCGTTTCTATAAGCCAGCAACCGCTGTGATACTGCTTTAACTTACTATCCGAACCGATATCTCTACCGTACCGGTACCAGTACCGTACCACCGCACCGTACCGGTACGGTACCGTACCACCGGTACTGGTACCAGGTACTAGTACCACTATCAACCGGTGCTCAGAGCAGCACCAGCTTGCTGGACTTCAGCGGGAGCCCTACTATTACCCCGGTAAGAGCATTCAATACCGGGGTCACCCATAGCACAAAACCCAAATGGGCGGTGGCTTGACATACTCGCAGCAAGGCTATGCTTGCTCGCGAAAGAGAACCTCAACGCTCATATTGTGATGTTAGAATGATGTCATTAATGATGTGGCAATTCTTCTCCTTAAGTAAATTTGAATCCAATGAGTCAAATGGGTTTGGGTCGGTAGTTGAGGCTACCCAAACAGTGGCGATTTGCGTTGGAGCTTACTCAACCCAATCGCCCAAATCGCATTTGACTCACTGGACTCAGGTCGGCCGGCGATACTCGATGCCAACCATTTGGGTTTTGTGCTATGGGTGATCCCGTTATTGAATGGTCTAATAGTATATGTAGTACCAGTGCAGTACAATATTTCTACGGTATCCTTCTAGCCTTCAGAAAAATAATGGTCCGCCCGATGCGCGGTCACGCGCAAGAAGAGAAAAGAAAAGAGGAGGGGAGGACGGACGTCGGATGTCTCACCTCTAATTCCATTTCCCTCCTCTCACATCGATTCCTGACATCATCAGATCCTTTTCTTTAATTCAGGAGGCGCCAGAAAGCCCAAATCGATGCATTTAGCTACCCAATCCTCGTACTCTCTTTGCACTGTCCACATCAGCTCCAGTCATGTGAGAAAGCAGAGGAAATTTCCAACCGCGAGCGTTTCGGTACATAGTAAAACAGTATAACGCTCGGGGTATCCAAACCGTTGTAGTAGAGTCAAATTCTTGAAATCGACGTGGAAGCCACTATTTCATTCGTCTTCGATCGTTACACCGGAGGAGTCAGTTGACAATGACAAAGCAGCAATTTGGACCGGCGCAGTGGGCCTTTATCAAGAAAGTCAGAGCAGACATAGACAATGATCCCAAGCATTTCTTTGAGAGAGGCCAAGGGAAGAACTGGGAGGAGATCGTTCCTTCTGGAGGGAGATATTCCAGCTCATCTCTGCTCCACGCTGATGCCAAGAAAGTGCGAGTTGAATCATTCTACGTTCGGCCAGTTGCAGTGTGGGTTCCTCATTTGCTAATAAAGAACCATGTCCCAACCTGTCCTCACTGTGGTGAGCAGAAGTTCGTTGATGTAATAAAGTCCAAGTGGGTGAATTCCCCCATTGCGCTTCATGGTGTTAGTGGCCACAAATATCTTGACACGAAGCTTTATCCTTGCACCGCGTGCCAGCGGCACTTCACGGGCTACAACAAGAAGTCGATGCAACACGACGCGGCATGCTACAATGCATTCTTTCATTTCTACCTTGGACATGGCTACGCGGTGGATGAACAGTTATACCAACAAATAATTGATGAATCCACGACGCAGTCCACCCAAATGATAGCTGATCGGCTGAAGCGAAATGCATACATGCGCTACTACAATGATTACTCGCTCTACCTTACTGCAGTGGGACATGACAAGATTACCAAGCGCCCAAAGAAAAAAGCAAAGACCATGGATAAATTTTTGATTAAGGAGACTGAAGATGATGAGCTGAAAAGGTTGCGCCGCAGGAAGCAGGATCGTCGCCTGGACCTCACGAAGGCGCAAATGGCTATCTCCACCGCCAATGGGAAACTCAAGAAAGACATTGTGTTTGCGCACTTGGTTGGAGACAAGAAAGATCGCAATGTTCATGGTGAGCGAAACATTCTGCCAGGATTTGGACCAGTGAAAATCAAGAAGCTGACAGACAACGGCATTACCTCGGCGCAGCAGCTGGCATACTGCAACCCTCGCGATTACCCAGCTTTGGAGCATCTGCTTCCTGGATGGATTGAAATAGTGGACAAGTTTTATGAGGATCTGGCGAGTCGCTGTCTGAAATTGGAAGATGACGTGACCCATGCCGAAAAGGAATTCGTGGATGCAACCGAAGCACTGGCCATGTATGTTGGGTTAATGGCAGCTGACAAAGACCAAGGGGATGAAGAAGGGAAAGAGGATGATGCCGAACCTGATCGTCCTCCCCTATTCTCCAAGTTTGAGGACAAGAAAGGATATTCCGGCAGATATCTTTCGAATTATTACATTGACAGTATCGTAACAACTGTTTTTGGCTTCAGGAAGGAGTATATTGTCAACAAGATGAAAGGCATTTGTGCTGAAGTTCTGAAGATTGACTTCAATTACAAGCTCGCCAAGAAAATCCGTGTCTGGACAAAGCAAGGCACCAGTTTCCAACCATATAAGTGTCTGGTCACTGTGCAGAACGAGGATGGTCTTACAGTTTACTGGAAGGCCTTGAAGCACTCTGAGAGTTTCAGTGAGATTGAAGATGATCTGAGGAGGCTTCACAACCGCCTTAATAGAAATTTGGCTGCCAAGAAGTGAGAAGAACTTCGCAAGCATGGTCTGCTTGGTCCTGTCGCCAATGACGAAGCCGTGAAGGTCCTGTATGTCGACAACTGTTGTTCCTGCTACAAAAAGCTTAAGGACTTGTTTCCTGGGGCACTTGTGTTGCTGGATCCTTTTCACTGGCTGAAGCGGTGGAATCCAATTCTTGTGGAACCAAACTCAGCCCAAGCAGGCATTTACAGGGCCATGATGAGCCGTGCACTGTACAGTGTGGAAGAGTCAGAAGGAAGCAAAGGCCTCGATTCCTTGTCCAGCCACTGTTCGAGCCAACGTTGAAGCTGTATATAAGTATTTTGTCAGGAAGGACGCAGATGTGGAGGCATTAATAGCCACTCGAGATCCCAATGACACCACATCGCCAATGCCAAAACGGTTTTTCAAGTCAGGAACCAGCGTGCGAGATACAGTCCAGAAGCAGTTTTCCTATGTCGACCAAGGGTGTTTAAGCGATCCACCACAAGCTCTTGTAAATCTTTTTAGGTTGAACGAGCGAACTGGTGTTGTCTTTGTGGCCAGAGGAACCAACAGCAATGAGCGAGACAATTTGGACTTGGCATATAAAGTGCTGTCGGCAACTCATATTGGTAAGTTCGCCCTTCAGTGCTTCTTCAACACTATCCATTATCTCACTTTTGAACCTAATTTTATGCAGGTATTACAAGGGCCGACCGACTCATTTGGTTGTTCTTCGACGATGAGTGGAAATCCACGTGAACCCCCATTGTGGTGTGAAGCAGCTGTGCTGGTTTAGCCAGGTGGAAGAATCGCTGTGACATCTGTAATACTCCAACAGTAGGGTCAGCAGTGCAGCCATCTGGCAATACAGAAATAGCTGAGGAACTCTATATACCCAAGGATGATGCAGTTTCTTTCAGCCAAGACCAATATAGAAAGTTAGCTTGACAGCAACAGCCAAATGAGATGCAAGAGAGCCAAGCTGCATGGCTGAGTGTTGTCGAGGATTTTGTGTTCAGTGATTTTAGCATAGTTTTAAAAGAAGAGAAGTAATGAAAGGATAGTTGACCAGATACAGCCTCAGTAGCACTAGTTTCCCCACAGTCGAAGCCTTCCTGTGTGGATTGTGCCAAGGCAAAGAGTAAGTTGTTCAATCATTGCTGTGGAGATTGAATAACAGTGGCAGCCAGCTTTGTGGCTGGCCTATTCCCAAGTGCCAGAGGAGTGAGACCCCAAGCAAGCTCTCCATCCCAGCTCTTGTGCACCTACCAGCTGAGTTCCTACCTGGAATTCATAGGATTAACTTGTCGAAAAGCAAGCACAAGAGTGGCTACGTGTGGAAATCGAGGAGGAAGAGCGAGCGAGCTGTCGAATTGGCTGGTCGGGACCTGCCGACACGGCGAACGACCGAAAACTCGAATAACGACCGATTCAAGTGGAAGCAGCTTGCCCAACTACTAACCTGAGGGTGGCTGACAAGATACACCAGCCAGTTGCTTGTTAATCGGATTGGTTACGGCTGCCGATAACGGAATAAAGAGCGCCATTGTCGACTCTTGAAGAATCGCGACAGGATCTGCCGATCGACAGAATTCCTCAACGAAGTGAGTGGTAGCGACCAAACCAAGGTGGTCGCCTATCAAGTTGAGGGTGCTCTACAAGATAGTCCAGCCAGTTTCTTGTTAATCGCCTTGGTTACGGCGGCCGCGAGTGAAAGGTATAGGCCCGATTGATCCTAATCATTGTCGCTTTTCTTACGGAAACTCGCAGTCGTGCCTCCGGAGATACTGCGGTGAAACGGTACTCACACGGTACTCACAGAACCGGTACTGTGACCGTACCTCTGTTCCGAAAGCAAGCCGACACATCGCGCGAATAGGCTCCTCACATTTTCGCTGATTCTGCGAACTCCGTGAGAGGATACCGATCGATCCACTGTTACGAGTCGACTCAGGTGTAAACTCGCAACACCACGAGAACACCTTCCAGTCGGTTTCAAAGGATTCCAAGGGTATCAGTGTGTCAAGCAGCCTCTGTTTAGTCATTGACTAGCAGTGCAAGACCTCAAGTCTACATTTGGATTTTTCGTGGCAGTTCTTGTTCAACACCTCTACAGAACCACACTCAGCCAGCACAACAGCGGTCATCATGGGTACCAGCAGAAGCAAGAGGAGGAAGAAGCAGCAGAAGCAGCGCCAACAGCAACAGCAACAGCAACAGCAACAGCACCACCAACAGGAACTCCCACAGGCACACCAACTGGAACCACACAAACATCTGGAACCACACCAACCACCACCAACCGCAACACCACCAGGTAGCACTGAACCACCACAATCCACTCCTGTCAAGTCACCAGTGGATCCACCCTCAGTTCACCGTCTACCTGTGGTTCCCCCACCATCTTACCAACTCAGTGGATCATCTTTTGCATCCTCCAACCTTGGCAAGCATGATACCACCATGATTAGCCAACAGCAAGCACAACTGGTGGAGGCACTGCACCAACAAAAGGAGGAGACCATGGAGCGCCAGGCTGCTTTTGAGGCCAGGCTATCCCAAAAACAACAGGACATCAACCAGTCTAGTGTCTCCATCCATTGGTTGGTCCACACCTTGATGGACCAAACCAACAAGCAACTTTGCCTCATGGGTATTGGAGGGATCATCCCTATTCCTTCCAATGCATCTTCTTCATTGTATCACCATCCTTATGGTTTACTGCCCATGCGACAAGGTGTGGAAGGAACCACTGTTTCTATAGCACATTCTCAAGGCAGTTCAGAATCAATTGTTTTGGGTTCAGGATTGATGAGTGTTGTTGAGGACCATCCTGGTCCATCCCCTCAGCCCCAAGTGGATATAGATGTTGCCATTCCACCTTGTGGCGATGAAGTCATTGACCATTTTGAGGGTCCTCAAGGAGGAGGATAAGACTACAAAGAATACTTCAACCCAACCAACACCAACACATGGCAGCAGTATACCTTCAAAATTCTCCCTGCCTTACACCCCTTTACCACCGGTGTCATCCAATCACGCCCCAACTCAACCTGTTCAACCTGTTAGCAGTACAGCCATCTTCCAATACCCCAAACGGTCCCACAGATCTGGAGACGATAACCGGTTCTACAGACAGCCAGATCTCATCCTTCCAGAGGCATTGCCCCACAGACAGGAAACACACTACTCAGGAAGGTGGATCAACAACCCCGACATGCGGAAGGTATGGGTCCGCTATGACAGGGCATTGAGTGCTGATGAACTTCCTGCCAATGTGCCAACCCACCCTGCACATTGGGTCAACAGAAAGGTATCCTGACGGTCCTAATTCTTCACTGACCAAGGGGAGTGGATCATCTATGATGTCAGGGATAGGTTCTTCAACCATGATCAGCCAACCACCCACAACCAGTCACCACAGGCCTCACTCTCACCACAGCCTATACCTCACC